TCTCCGCGCTCCTCTCCGCCTCCCGCCTCGACGCCGCGCTCGCGCTCCTGCAGGACGCCCCTCCCGACCTCCTCCCGCGCCTCGCCGCCGCCGCCATCCCTTCCCTCATCGCCTCCCCTGACCCCCTCTCCGCCGTCCCCGCCATCCGCAGGCTGCTTCCCATCGCCTCCCACCCGCCTCACGTCCGAGCCACCAACCGCCTCCTCCTCGCCCTGTCCAAGGAGAACCTCTACGATGACTTCTGCCATGTGTTCGACGAAATGTCAAGGAGGGGCCTTCCTTCCAACTTGAGGTTCTACAACATTTGCATCCACGCCTTCGGCAAGTGGAAGCGCCTGGATAAGTCGCTGAAGCTCTTCGCGGCTACGAAAGCTGCCTCTCCTCCGCTGGTGCCAGATATATGCACGTACAATTCGGTCATTCGTGTTCTTGTGATTGGCGGGAGGGTGGCTGACGCTTTGCTGGTCTTTGATGAAATGAAGTTGGCCGGGATCCACCCAGACGTGTTCACTTACCGCGCGGTTGTGGATGGGTGCTGCAAGAGTTTCAGGATGGATGACGCACTGCGTATGTTTCAGGAGATGCGCGGGGGCACCGGGCTGAAGGGGGATGTCGTGGTGTACAATTCGCTTCTAAATGGACTCTTCAAAGCAAAGAGGCTTGATGAGGCATGTGGTTTTTTCGAGACAATGGTGGCGGATGGGATCCAATGCTCAGCGAGCACACACAACACCGTGATCGATGGGCTGTTCAAGAATGGGAGGGCAGAAGCCGCATGTCGGCTGTTCTATGAGCTAAGGAAGAAAGGTCAGCTATTGGATGGGATTGCATACAGTATTATGGTAAGGGAGTTCTGCAAGGAGGGCACAGGGGACCAAGTTGCAGAGGCAGTCAGTTTGGTCAAGGAGATGGAAGACCGGGGCTTTGTTATTGATTTGGTTACCGTTACATCATTACTTCTAGGTTTTAACAAGAGTAGACGGTGGGATTTGGAAGAGAAGATAGTGAAGATCATAAGAGATAGCTCTGTCTTGCCAGATGCCATTCGATGGAAGTCCAACATGATGGATGCCTTGACAGGACCACAGGATAGAGCGAAAGATGGAACATCAATCTTTCCATTTGATGGTAATATGAACGATGTGATGAGTTTGCTCAATCCTGCAGTATGCACTGATACAAATGAAGGAACCACACACAATGAACCCAAGGATGATTGGTCTTTGTCCCCACACTTAGATCATCTTGCCAAACATGCTGATCATTCAAATAATTCTGCTATATTTACAGTGCACAGAGGTCAGAGGGTGGAAGGCATGGGGGGTAAAACTTTCGATGCTGACATGGTTAATACATATATGTCAATCTTTTTAGCCAAAGGGAAGTTGAGTGTAGCCTGCAAGTTATTTGAGATCTTTACAAATCTGGGAAGGAAAGGGACAAGTTATACATACAATTCACTGATGACCTCATTTGTCAAGAAGGGGTATTTGAAGCAGGTCTGGGCAGTTCTTCACGAGAGGGGTGGACAACTCTGCCCCAATGACATAGCAACATACAACCTGATAATTCAGGGTCTTGGCCAGATGGGGAAAACAGAGGTTGCTAGCTCAATCATGGAACAATTGTCAAAGAAAGGTGTTTACATGGATATTGTTATGTACAACACTTTGATCAATCAATTGGGAAAGGTCGGGAAGGTTGAAGAAGCAAACTGTTTGCTTGAGCAGATTACCACAAGGGGCATGAAACCAGATCTTGTTACTTTTAATACCTTGATCGATATTAATGCGAAAGCTGGTAGGTTGAAGGAAGCCGACAAGTATTTGAGGAGGATGATTGCAGAAGGCATTGCTCCAAATCACGTGACGGAAACAATAATGATTTTCCTTGATAAGGAGATTCAAAAGAAAAAACAGCAATCTAAATGAACTACCGAAAAAGCATGAATAATATCAGTGCAACGAAGGCTTTTTCAAGATACTATATTGGCGAAAAGGAACAGTTGTTGTAACAAACTCTACGGAGAGGTAGCTCTGTTGTGAATCGAAAATGCCATGAGGTAAACTTTGCAATATTTTGTCTTAATTTGAGATTTTTTTTTACCAAATTTTCATTTACTACCTTCAGAGAGCATGACGATATCAGGTGAATGAAAATGTAATCATGCATAGGCTAATTATAGTTAGTTTATTCGATTGTGAGTATCTGTTGGGAAGTCCGTTGAAGAATGCTTCCTTAGATGATTGAATGATGGGAGTATGTACCTACAACTACAGTTTTTTTTTATGTTTTTCGTTTTTCTTATGTGAATTATGAAGTCATGTATTTCACATGTATCCTAATTTATTAAGTGATATTGTATGAAACATACAAATGCCGTGTGATATTTGATATATATGAATATTTGGACGGCCATTAACTTGCTTCATTATGTTAATATATGAAGATTCCCCCTTTTTTTAGATCATTGCTCTTGTTAATTGCTTGAGCTGGTTCACTCCCATTTTGCACATGAATATTTGATAAGACTATGAGTATTTAGTTCTATCCTGACCTTTTGAACGTTACCATGCTTATGCATCTTTTTTATCCGGGGCATAATTCCTGGCTTCTTTTATTGAATTCAAAGATGTACAAGATTACAATGACACAAATGAGCCATGCATCTTCCAGACATTTGAGCACATGAAACTGAAAAGGAGATGCTACAACAGTCACCGCATTCAGGAAAACATAACAAATCAAAACATTGTAAATGTGGGAACTGTTGTCTTCTGCTTGTAGCTTCGGATTCCGTCATGGTTTATCGAAGCAGAGAGATCACTGATTTACGTGACCTCAGACTACCTGAGCACCGAGCAGTCTCTCCCCTGCAAAGAGGTGAAACGGAAAACAACTTCAGCCAGTTTTAAAATCTTATCGTTAAAGGTCAGTTTGTTTCTTTTGAATCAAATGGTCTATGAGACTGCATGTAATCCAATTATGTACCAAATTCCTGTAGATTCCAGATTCCCTGTGTACCAGTTGGCTATAGAGTTTTCCAGTTGAAATGGCGCATGTCTCCCGCACTAGAGCATTTCTGATTACACCCCAGATGGATCTCACATTAGATCGGTTGAGAAAATATGTTAGTTTCCTGCCCTTTCTCTAGGCAGGTCTGGCATGATATCCTCTCCTGGCTGAGGATGATGTGCAGGCCATCTGACCAGGACACCTCCCTCCAACGCATGGTGGCTAGCTGCCAAAGAGACGATTCCCAAATCTCTTCGCAAGGGACTGGCCACCGTGACGCTGCTGACGGGATGGATGATCTAGAAACAGCATAACGCCTGCGTCTTCTATGGGATTGACCCTCTGTCCACTTGCTGACCGAGAAAATCAGAGCCGAGGCAGCGCTCTGGGCTCGAGCTGGGGCTGCTAGTCTTCGCTTGGTGATCCCAAACACCTGGGATGTCCATTAAAATCATTGTAACACAAACTGTAAACCACCTCCCAGTAGGCCTGTAACTTTTACCAGTCTTTGCATTTTCTCATAAAAAGAAAAATAGGTCAGTTGCCTCTCGTGCTCCACAAAGCTTGCAGTTAATGATGCATATTGTTCCTTGTAAATTTTCAGCACAGAGATAAAAGAATGCATCTAGGGAAGTATGTAGACTGCTTCATGGTTTACATGGCTCGGCATGAAACTCGAGATTCAGTATGAAACTATCATGGTCCTGCATTTTCTGAAGTGGTGATCAATCCAAACAATGAGGTTCATACTGGAACTAGTTGTGGAATCTATATTTGGCTTTATTTCCACCATAGTTTACTTCTGAGTGTTTCCCCTTATTATTTTGCTGTTTCTTTACACCTGATGCTCATTAACAGGAATTTTTAGCAGTCAGCGAGCGGAAGGACTACACTTTAAGTCGTTAAGGAATTCTGTTGTCCACTCAGAAATTCTCTTTGAGTGGTAGCACTCAGTTTGTTCTCTGAACCCTGTAGTGCCAAAAGAGACTTGACAGTGTGAAGGTGGAGGTCAAAAGATGGACGGTTTTAGCTGTGAATTAGCACAAGTGGAGAACTGATCTGGATGTATTGTGGGTGCTCTCACATGTTAAACATGCCTAGCCAGAGTAACAGGAGTAGAAGCAAGGGAGTGTGCCATGTGCGCTATTGAAGTATTGAGTGCTACGCAGATATGTTCCGTTTGGACTTCATGTGCAGCAACATTTCTGCTGCGTCCTTCATCTCCTCTTTGAATGTGTGGTTGCTAGACAGCTGTAGCTTGATATCTGTGAGATGGATGGCATTAGTTTGCAATTAATTCCTAGCAGATTGGCAGGTTAGCAGTTACATGCTATTTTCAAGTAGAGGGGGGTTGTGGTTTGTGGAGAAAAACGTGAATCCGAGAACAGTGGGCAGCTGCTTTGCTGGGACTGGAAGCTGTCTGTTACTTCTATGTAGCACTTCTCCAGGATGCTGAATTTCAGGCCGATTCAGGCCCCGAGCCAAGTAACCATGGAGGCCATGAAGCACCTTTTGGTCCAGATTGAGAAGAGAATCTGAGTGCAGCTGCGTAACTTCGTCCGATTTGCTGTGCACCACATATCTGAAGCAACAACTCTACGACTGTTTAGTTCAGTTCTCAATATTCTTTGGTAAATTGGCGCTACCAATTCTACATAGTATAGACGAATAAAACAAATATTTCGGTCGAAATCCGAGTCTTTCCAGTTGACCTGCTGTGTGACTGTTTTAAATTACGAGGTTGCTTCGTAGCGGCAATTGCCCGACGTTGTTTCTTGTGGCAACTGTATAATCCAAATCCAGCAGTAACTTTTCGATTGCTCATCCTTTTACTGCAACCTGACGATGCTAAATTATTCAGAGCAAATAGTGATGGTGCTCGCTTGTCTAATCGGAAACAAGTGTCTACAGTTCAAAGTTTTTTCATTGCAAAACAGTTATGTGCTGGTAAATTATTTAAATCTGCCACTAACAATTATTTATAATTCAACGTTTTTTCATTGCAAAACAATTACCTTTTGCAGCCTTACACTGTATCTGCCATGCCGTTTTCAGTATGCTAACTAACCCTCAGCTGTTGTGCTCTATTTGTAGAGTAAGAAAGATGATCTGCTTTCAGCAGGCACAGTGGGGTGGTGGCTTGCAGCTTTTATGGAGGAAAACCGTCAATCAAAAAACAGCTGGTGGCTGCTGCGCTGGGACTCACTTATGTGGGACACTTAGTGAGGGAGACGCTTCTAGAGACCTTGCTAAGAAAGCTTGCTCTGCCACGTAGATGAGGTGAGTGAGCCAGCTACTCTGCGACCGTTTAATTCAGCTTTCATTAAGTACTTCTGGTAAACAGGTGGTATCAATCCTGCTAGTGGACGCTAAATAAGATACAAACGGTAACAAAATATTTCGCTCGAAGTTGGAGCCTGACCTTTAGGCAAATCTGCTGTGCAGTGGTTTTGAAGTATGAAGATGTCCCGTAGTGGCCATTGTAGTATGAACCAAATGCTATGAGATTCCTGCCATACTCTGCGTAAGCTTTTGTCTATCGTCACCAGTTTTTACGCGTGGTAGGTGTCAATAGTTTACCATTGGTCTCGGTGTTCAATTTCTTTTCCTGCAACATGACGACACTAAATCATTTTTTAACGAATAAGTATAATATGGTGCCCACTTGAATAATTTTTAGGCTGGTTGTAGCCATCGTTTTCATTTTCTTTATTGCAATTAGTACGTTTTTTCTGTTGGCACGGGCATGCAGCAACCATCCAAAATCTGCCATGAATAGACTACACTTCCGTAGTGGTGGTGGGTGTCAATCGCGAAACGTGCGTACGTGGTCACATGCACATGATTCGGCGTAGCAAACCATAGAGTACAGTTAGCAGTTGTCCGTTTAGGCGGCAGCTGAAAACTGTGCCACAGGGTGCACTTGATTCCAACGTTTTTCGTAGAGAACTCGAGCCGTTCGGGTGCTGGACGCAAGCACAAACAGGCTCTGCTTGATACGCAAAGTGTCCTGGCTCAATCCATGTTGCGTTCCAGAATTCGAAGGCATAATGTCGAATGTCTGGGGTACCCCGTACTCCCTGACATGGAGTGCTCCCATATATTTTGGTCCATTTAAAAGTTGCTAAAAATTCTGGGGAAAAACACAACATAATACTACCAACAGATTTCAAGTCCAAGGGGTTCTTAAGAAAAAAAAACGATTTCAAGTCCAAGCTAATTGTTCAAGAAACAAAAAAGAAAATTCTAAAATTAATATTGTCCATGCTCCAGATATATGGACCAAATTGTGAAAGCTACTATTCCAAATAAGATTTGTCTTTCTTTTTTGTTTCTAGTTATGTGTTGCAAATTTGGATTTATCCTTGTAACATTATTAGTACTATGTGTTATATGTTAATTTGGCCAACTATTTTGTTCATGAATTTTGGATAGAGGCTTTTATACTAGGAGTACTTTGAGGCAGGTGAAGTAGGTGACAAGCTGGCATGGGATGATTAATTGTGGCGTTTGGGTTGGTGCACAAGAAGAGAAACTCATGTCCCAACAAGCCTGCAAAGGGTAATATATATGCCAGTCATATCTCAAGATAAGCAAGTGTGCAAGGGATGGACCTGAGCATCAGGGCGCTTGGGCACCTACATTTTTTCCTTTTGCTTCAAGCACGCTAGCAACAGATATGGGTATGGGTGGCATCGGGATATTACCCCACAGCTAGGATCTTTGACCACCGAGTTTAAAAAGCCGGCGAGTTCGCACGATGAACTTCAAAAGATGCCTATCACAAATATGTTGCTCATTTGGTGCATGTGTGATGAGATCTCAAAGGTGGTCTCGTTGTGGCTGTGGCCGTAGGAGAGCTTCTAGGTCTTGTCATCCTTAAGAGCTTGTGCGAGGTCGTCCTTAGCTCGAGGGTCTTCAACCTTGATTGATGCAAAACACTACATATTAGTATTGTTCTACATCTGCCCTCGGCAATGTCGTAGTACGTGTTTTTGGTGATGCCAAGCGACATCATAAAATTTGGGCTGCCTGCAGCAATAAACTTGTATTTAACCATAGTTTATTTAAATGTATGCATATGTACGTAGCTTTGACATCACTAGTTCCCACTCCTAGCGCCCCCACTGTCCCTGAGGATTGGCCGGCATTAGTGTTTGCTAGGCAACTATAGCTTGATATCTGTGAGATGACTGGCGTTATTGTTTGCAATTAATTCCTAGCAGATTGGCGGGTTAGCGGTAACATGCCAATTTCAAGTGGAGCGGGGTTGTGGATGGCGGAGGAAAACGTGAATCCTGTTGGATAAGTGAGCAACTAGTATTTCCTGAGGGCCAAAGGCCATTACATATACATGTGTGAGAAAGTGCAGAAAAGCCCCTTATACAATGGGGATGTACACAATGAACTATACACATCTACACCCCCCCTCAAACTCATGGTGGATCAACAACACTGAGTTTGGAGAGGAAAAACCCATGCTGCGCTCGAGTCTGTGCCTTCGTGAAGAAATCAGCCAACTGTAACTCAGAGGGCACATAGTGAAGAGCGAGAGTCTGATCCTGCACAGCAGCACGCACAAAGTGGGTATCCACGCCGATGTGCTTGGTGAGCTCATGCTTCACCGGGTCACGCGCAATACTGATAGCACCGGTACTATCGGACAGTAGAGGAGTGGAGGTAGTAGCAGACACACCAAAATCCTCAAGTAACCACCGTAACCAGATCACCTCAGCCGTCAACATAGCCATGGCTCGCAACTCAGCCTCTGTACTCGAGCGAGAAACTGCAGTCTGCTTCTTTGTCTTCCAGGCAATAAGAGAGCCGCCAAGAAAGACACAATAAGCAGACAGCGAGCGTCGATCCGAGGGATCACTAGCCCAGGTAGCATCAGAGTAGG